ATTGTCCATGTTTCTTTTATTATAATGCAAGGAGGAAAACTAGGCACCAAAGTAAAACATTTGTCTTAGGAGAAAAACAATGTTTCCATTAGAAAAAGTAGCAAAAACACCATTTCTTCCCTATTGGCTTTTCTTTAGTCAATTACCTCTTTTACCAAAAAATGTTCTCTCAGTTCAATTATTGAACAAATTGCCCTTAAACAAAATGTCAAAGTGTCCAACATCTGTCTACAGGTAAAACTTTTTGAACAACACTAGTCATTGTAAGCGCCTTTCTTATTTTTCAGTAAGTACTTTAATTCAAAATAAGCCTATTGCCTTTTGTTTGCATTTTAATACTAATGAAAATTTCACTCTGAGTTGAAAGTGATGTTCCTTCAATGTCCTGACCCATTCAGGTGGCAGTGTAGAAGGGGATCGCTAACATACACATGGTAATACACATGGTAAGGCAGAGTGATTCACAGACAAGATGGGTGGGTTGGTTTTCTCCCCTGAGATCTGTATTAAGATGGTATCTGGGGCCTGAGAAGTCTCAGTGAAGACTGATTCCTCAGCTTTTGCTGGTGTCTTGTGAACTGTGCGTCCTCAATGGCATTACGTGCAATCTGTAAAGTAAAATACTTATCATGACTTGTAATGAGAAGCACAGACTCACTTGGCAAAGAGAAAGGAAAGGTCCAAAAGCAAGAGTAGGAGCCCTGCACATAGAACCCACACCTGAAGAGAAGGATGCAGCCCAGACATGTGATATAAAGTAAGCCCCTTCTCCCTACTGAGTCCACAGTGGACGGTTTCAAGCTTATAGATCCATGGTAAGTTATAACTGAAAGAGCTTTTGGGAGAAATAAAGGGTATTGCTAACTGTAACAGGAGCTTTTGGTTTTTTAATCTTTCAGTTAAAGAAAGTGAAGGGTGCTGCTTCAATCTTTTACCTCTGCTGTGGCAGGATCCTTTAGGTAAATCTTCCGAAGGCAGCCTTGATTGGCACTGTCTTTCTTGTGGAAAAGACCCTGTTCCTGTTTCAAAAGGACAATGACAGAAAAGAAAATTATTCTGAGGAAGAAAAGAATCATAACCTTTAATTAGATGCTTAACTGTCAACTCTATTTTATAATCAGTAGACTAACCAAATACACATCTTCAAGGATTATATAAAATAAACCATCTTGGATAAGGATGCTGGCTCCATGTATGAGTTGCTGGAGTTTATAAAATTGGATGAATATATATCAATCTGTATAAAAGGCTATGATAAGCAGCCTACAGAAACGCTACTTGATAACTCATCACAGCTGACAAATCAATAAACCATTCCTTCATTTCCTGAGCTCATAGATAGAATTCTTATACAATGTAAAATACACTGAGTCAATTCTCATCCCACTGATGTGAAAGAAAAGTGATAACTGAGAAAACTGGGAAATATATGCATAGTGACATAGTCTTTCTTAGTTTGAAAATTATGTTTCATACACCAAGGCACTCTTTAAATTTTGACACTATATAATGAGGAAATCCTGAAATACCAATAATAGGGGGACATAGTATCCTTTTATTTGTAAATTCCCATAGAAATTTACATAGTATCCTTTTCTTTGTAAATTTCCAAGGAAAGACAAATTAACATTAACTAAAGGATAACAGGATTCATCTCTATTCAATTTTATGTATGTTCTTCAGATAGTTTCGGTAACAGAAATAACATTATTGTTTAAGAAAAACAAATACAGACAGAAACTACAAAATTTATAATGACAATGTATAATTTAACGGCATTAAAATACATTTATAATATATGTAATAAATATATGTTCCAAAGTTAAGTTCATGAATCTGAGAACTAAAAATGTGGGATATCATTTTTGCCAGCTAAATAAAGTTCTTTCTTAGAAAATCATTGAGGATAAAAGACAAAGTATTATTACATATTCTATAAATATGAAATATTATAAAATATGGATAATTTTAATATACTACTTATTTTTACCAAATCACTTAATACTCTCCTAAAAGCCTAAAGAAGAAACTTTTCTAGAAATGTCTAAGATTATAGCAAAATGAGTATCCATATGAGGTAAAAAAAATCTTCTATTTATTAATGCTTAATTCACCAAAAAGGAAATATCAACATATCAGAATTCTTTGGGCAAACAGACTGATATTTTACACAATGCAATCGAGGACTGTTAGAAAATAAAGTACAGTTATACAAACAAACTGATTATTTCTTTCTTTACATCTCGGCATATAATAGTAACAATAATGATGACAATCCCTCAAACATTTTGTATAGTTAACTGTAAAACTGTCAGAAAGCACTGGTTCCACTCTTTTAATAAATTCTTAGCTCTAAAGATGTGATTCATGTTGTCTTACCTTAGTTGAAATTTTTAGCAAATTTTCATCAATGCTAGGAGGATATACAAAATCTTCAAATGGACACTGCCAGTCTACAGACATATGGCCTAGGATTTCCACTTCCTTTATATACAACACTCGTCTATTTGGCAAAAGAATACAAAAAACATAAAACATATAGGTAGGGATAAAGACAGGCAATTATTTTCACTAGTATTTCACTTTCCTGGAGAGTACTGGAGGAGTGCTTAGTAAACAATAAAAATTGCCACTGTAAAAAAAAGTGCTTCACATTTTTAAACAGTTTAGATAACTGTCAAATAAAGGGCAGATATGATAACTACTCAACTAACAGAGCAAACTTTCAAAAATTCCCCTTCTGCCAATCTTGCAGAATTCAGAAAAGTCTAACTGTTTTTTGTAACTAACCCAAAAAGGATAAGGAAATCCATCTTTGAAACACATAAGGAAGAGGCTGTACTCTAACCTAGGAAGTATTAAAGGCAAAACCCCCTGAAAATGCTTTGCCTGGAAAACTATGAATTGCTCTTTACTCTCTAGTCATTTATGCCTTCAAGTCAAGAAAGGAACTAAATGTCCCCAGCACCAAATGAGCTTGGGAATTGATTCTGCGGTGATCTGTTTGTTGTGCAGCAACAGAGAACTTAAGTGGTCTCTAACTGGCCTCCCTGCCTCCTATCTGATCCGCTTCCAATCCAGCACCCAAAATGCTGCCAGAGATCTTTCACAAGTACAAACCTTGCTACATTACTCCTCGTTTACAAGTCTACAGGGTTGGAAGAAAAAAGAGAATCCTCGTGTGTGTATTATGTGCATGTGTGTATCTCTATTTGAGAAGCTGTGATACTGAATAATAAACTAATAGATTACACCTTAAAAACATTGATTCTCCATCAAATTAATAATTAAAATCTAAACGCTTAAGGTCTTATGAGCTGCCACCTATGACTCTTGTTTCCTCTCCCAACAGTTCCCCATTAACATCCCGCCATCCCGGCCAAAGTGTCGTAGTTTATGTCTCTGCTTGCCTCTTGTTTACCTATGTGACAGTTACGTGCCGTGTAAGACTCAGCTGAAGCATCCTCTCCTCTAAAAGGCCTCCCTGTCACCTGCCCCACGACATTTCAGTGCCTACCTTACTAGACAGAGAACTTTTCCTATATCCTCAGGGTCTCTGTGCATTACTTTTTTAAGCAGCTATCACCTTATGATGTCACTGATAATTTGTAGGTTGCCCCTTTAGATGGTGAAGGGAGAGAGATGTAACTCTCTTCCCTGTGTCCCTGTATCTGTCATATATCGATGGTTAAATGATTACTAAAATAAATTATGGAGGAGTTAGGACCAACTTGTGGAGCTATAGCCTAAGAAATTTAGGTCATGAGAACATGTATTTTGTTTCTAAAGACTCATAAAGAGAAAATAAATGGAATTAAATTCTAGATGAATTTCAATATGGAAAAATTAAAGTGTTATATATTGGAAAACTAAATATATAATTGTTAGCATGTCAATGCATTGGATAAAAAGTGTTAATATCATTAACTTACACAGTACTCTTTAAATTCATTAAATAAAAAAGACTAGTAGATCAATAAAAAATGAGTAAAGGATGTGAACAAGTAACTCACAGAATAAAAGTATAACTGGATATTGATATATTAAAAATTTTCATACTCATCAGTACTCAAAGAAATGCTAATTAAAACAAAAAACTGCTTTCCACTCATTAAGACAGCAAACTTAAAAACTCAAATGATAATACCAAATCTTAATAAAACACAGAAGAAAGCACATTTTCATGTATTGTAAGAGGTATGTAAGAAACTGATGTAACCTTTCTGAAAAACAATGTAGCAATATACTGAAAGAATCTCAAAAATCTTCACAACTTTTAAATTATAAATCCCATTCTTAAGAATTTATTCTGAGGGGGAGAGCCTGTGGCTTAAAGGAGTAGGGAGCTGGCCCCATATGCCGGAGGTGGCAGGTTCAAACCCAGCAGCCCCAGCCAAAAACTGCAAACAAACAAACAAACAAACAAACAAAAAAAAACCCCACAAACAAACAAGAATTTATTCTGGGAAAAGAACAGAAAAAAAGAACTGCAAATGTAAAAAAATAAAATACTGGGAAAAGGAAAACTGAATGTCAAATAGTAAAGGAGTATTTGAATAACTTATATTCACAAAAGCAATATTATGTAGTCACTAAAAATGGTGTCAAAAATATTTAATGGTTTGGGAAGATGATTACAATATATTGTTAAGTGAAAAACTTACATTATTAAAATGTATAAATTTTTTCCAGATAGTTTTTATAAAATATGTTAAATATATATTGCAAAAATATGATATGTCAGCTAAGTGGTCCAAGTCTGGACAATGAGATTGCTAGTAAAAGATGTTTTTAGGGGTTATATGATTTATTGTTCTAACCAGGACATTTTTAAGAATGAAAAGGGATAACTATTAATAATTACATTGGGAAAACTGGTAGACACTAGAATGTATAATTACTTATCTTCATCTTTTTAATTATCTATATTAAGATAGGCAAACTATGGACTTTGAGCCAAATATAGGTCAAGGGCTGTTTTAACAAGTAACATATTACTGGATACAACCATGACCATTCTTTTACGTGTTATTCATGGCTGTTTTCCAACTAGAAAGACAGAGTAAAAGGTTCAAAAACACAGCATGGCCCTTTAAGTCTAAATATTTACTGTCTGGCCCTTTAAAGAAAGTTTGCTGACCTCTCATCTACATTATCCACAATGAATAAGCATAGTTTAAACAATAAAAAGGTTATTTTTAAGAATACTGAATTTAGTCTGGATGTAGTGGCTCACACCTATATTCCCAACACTTTGGGAGGCTGGGGTGGGAGGACTGCTTGAGGCCAAGAGTTCAAGACCAGTCTGAACAACACAATGAGACTCCGACTCTGGTCTCTAAAAAAGTAAAAGCAGAAATTAGCTGAGTATGGGGGCTTGTGTCTGTAGTCCCAGCTCTCCTGAGGCTGAGGCAGGAGGATCACTTGAGCCCAGGAGTTTAAATCTGTAGTGAGCTATGATCACACCACTGCACTCCAGCCTGGGCAACAGAGCAAGGCCTTGTCTCAGAACAACAAAACAAAAAAGACCCCTGAATTTGGAAGAAATGTTACTCTTTTTAGGTAACAGTTCATTGAAGGCCAAATGGATTAGCACGGTAACTACCTTACCCACACACACAAAAAATTTGTTAGAAAGAGTTTACTTAAGCTAGCAAGAAGACTAAGTCTTATACTGGTCAGGAATATTATTTTACTAATCGCCTCCTAAAAACCCCATTTCCACTGCCTAGTTATTTCAATTATATATAAGGTATTTGAAAATGAATTAATACATTTCTACTCTCAGCTAAATGTAATATATAATAAACATCATTTTTTGGTATAATCTAATGGAGACAATATGTAATTAGGGGCATAAAAATAAGTAATTACTTGTCAAATTTATAAAATCTGCCTGTTAGGTCACTTTGTGGATATACCTGCCTCTTAACTAAAGTGCAAATCAGATAATAGGATAACCCTCTCTTACAGGGCTGATTAAGAAAAAACTCATAGGTTTAAAAGTGTGAATTCTCTTATTCAGTTTTCCTTTCTCTCCTTCTCATCCAAATACTACACATTTAAAAACACAGTAGTGACAAATCTATGCAGATTTTTGCCTATTATAAATAGTGATTTGTCTTAATCCTACAAGGCACATCACTTATAAAGTTCTGAAAATTATTAATCTATAATTATCATTTGGGATATAAAATGCTATATGTACCCTTGTTATCTAGGACAAATACCAGGAAAATAAGCTTGGTAGTTTAGTCCAAATTCTTTTATTTGGAAAAATTATCTACCACTTCCAAAATACTTACACATAGAAATAATGCTGTCCTTTAAAAGGGGTATGCTAATTACCTCAAATAAAAGAAAAAAAAATGAATCATGAATTAACCCCCATAATTGAATTTGAATTCATATATAACGGTATCACTACTGCAAGTTTGAACTCCATTTGTCTCTCAGAAATGATATAAGTTGGATAAGATCCTAAACCATATTGGATCTCACTTTCAGTATCTCTAACATGAAGGACTTGGAATACCTGATCTCAAAAGACATACTTAGATCTGCATTCTTGTGATTCTATGAAAATGGACATTTTGCCACTGAAGGATAGTCCTCTAAATCCTCTGCCATTTTAGCCTTTAAAACTCTTATGATATACACAACTATGTCGTATTTGAAAAAAAGTCACTTCAAGTTAATACCTGTTAGTAACCATAAGGATTGTCTTCTTGCCTCCAGGAACAGCACAGTGGTATCGGTAAGTCTCTCCTTCCAACTTTTTGATATGATTCTGAAAGGGAAACAAGACTCAAGATTTGGAAAGTATGTGCATTCAAAAAGTATTTACAATACCTTATGTTAGCCACTTATAATATTAGTGTTAGGAAAAAGTTTATTAGAAACAAAGGCACATTTGCACACTAAACTAGAAAAACATTCATAGCACGTTTATAAATTAACTTCCATAGCTGCATTAAAAGAAAAAGGAGACTTAAATGCTTACCAAGTTATCTTCTTGTAAAATTCATTTTGTTCTATAGTAACTTAGAAATTTTAAAATATCTACCAGAAATTATCACACATTTTAATTAAATAACAAACACATGCTAATATGAAACTACCACATTAACATTAAAGGGGTTCTTAAAGAGGGAGCCATGGTAGGTCTATGGAGTGGGTCTACACACTACCTAACCTAGAATATAAAATTTTGAAAATGTGGTTCTACAACTTTTTTCAAAGGATAGTTCACACTTTTCACCAGATTTTTTTGAAGGAGGCTGTGATCCCTCTCAAAGATTAAGAACCACTGATTCACACAGAAATAGATATTATACATAGAATAAAATTCCAAGATAACTAATGTTTAATGTTTTAAACATTTGGTCTTATGGATGAATCATGTATTCAGAAGTTTATTTCCATATCAAATTACATTTCTCATAGAAAGGAAAATATAATGAGAATATTAAAATAAACATAAAGAATTTCTAAGGTTTCAAAATAGCTGGCACAATTTATTTTTAAAGACAAAGCATAAAACAATTCAAGTATAAATAGCAGCCCATTAAAATACATTTATTTTCTTTTTCAACTATCTCAAAACTATTGTGACTTGAATTAAGTCAATACCATTAAAAACCAACAAGAGTTTTTATAATGAATGTTATGACATAGTATTAACATTATTTATACTGCATGATTGATAATCAGACAATAGATACGAAAATACAGAACATAAACATACCAAATACATTAAGACTTTAACATTTTATAACCAAGGCGATATTAAAAGAATAATCAGTATGATCACAAGCAGAGAAAGCACACTTGATATTATTATTTCAATGCTTGAATATACAATTTTAAAAGATGCTTGGTTCCCAGTCATCCTGTGACAATTACTAAAAGCCACGAACAAGGAAGAGCAATCCCCAGAGAAGTGGGATCTCCTTAGAATGAGTCCCTAAAGAGAGAACGGCAGATTTCATAGCAATAGTTACTTGGTTCACAGTTCACCTGTGTGAATTATCCAAAATCTTTTAACATTTATGTCTCCATTTCTTCAAAGAGAAAATGAGAAATTAACATAATAATTTAGTTTATTCTTTAGGCTGAAATTTAAGTATGTTAAAATATTTAGATTTAAGATGCAAGTACCAGAAATACTACCCACTTTCTATCTTGTATACATTTTCATTAGTTATCAGGCCATTATTGTGCTTCAAGACATTGAGTTTGTAAGGTACATTTATCACCATAATACATTTTATTTATTTATTTATTTATTTATTTATTTAAGATAGGGTTTTACTTTGTCACCCTTAGTAGAATGCCATGGCGTCATAGCTCACAGCAACCTCAAACTCTTGAGCTCAAGAGATTCTCTTGTTTCAGCCTTCCTAGTAGCTAGAACTACAGGCATCCACCACAACACCTGGCTATTTTGTTTGTTGGTTTGTTTAGCTGGCCCAGGCCAGGTGCAAACCCACCAGCCTTATAGTATGTGGCCAGCGCCCTAACCCCTGAGCTATAGGCGCCCACCATAATACATTTTAGAGAACCTTGTTTTCAGCACTACCAAAAATTCCACTACATCCTGAGATTCAGATTAAGAGATTCTGTCACTGATAGCGACAGACAACCAGATTATTTGATAAAATGCAAATTGAGGGAGTCAATAATACTTTGTAAAAGCCTTTTACTCAGCAATTCAGTGTTTTCAAATAAATTCTAAAGAAATAAATACAAGATACAGAAAAGCAAAACATGTAATGATGCTTACCACAGCATTATTACTGTTAGTAAAACAGCAGAACAATTTTAATGTCAAGAATTAAGAATCACCAAATATACAACATAAGGTAACCTCAACAGATGGGAAAGTAAGAATTAAAAATGTCAATGAAGCATTTCTAATAACACAGAAAAATTTAACTAAAAATAAAAAGGAACCATTTTATTAATAATAACCATATGATTTTAAGTATATGAACCAAAATGAATGTTAAATAAAATACGGTGCTCGCTCTCTCTCTCTCTCTTTCTCTATATATACATAAAACATATGTCTGGAGAACAAAGGATAAATAGAGGAGTATATCCTAAAAACATAGTATATAATTTAGTAACTCTCAAAGCTGAGTATTAAAGAATACAGAGAAATATGCAAGAAGAAAAGAAAACGAAGAAATGAAAGAAATGTTTAGAATATGCCTATACTACATTAAGGGTGAGGGGGACATAATTATACATGTTAGTGTTCTTTCCTATTTATACATTTTGTTATGCTTGGACATTTATGGGCAGAAGGCTTATTACTTTTGTATATCCAGCACAGTCTAAGGCATGTCCAACCAGCGGCCCATGGGCCACCTCTGATTATTTGAGGACTGTTTCGCTTATCTGTAGTGTAAGATATCAAGAAAGGTATGCACAGACTTCTTTGTTTGGTCATCAGCTTTTGTTCGTTGTCTAAGTGTTTAACATATGGCCCAAGGCAACTCTTAATTCTTCTAATTTGCAGCAGAGAAGGAAAAGTGTTGGACACCTCTTAAATACTTCTTACTCAATTAATTGATCACAGCAAGATGGGCAAAAGATGAAATAGCCTAATTCCTTAATTATCCATGTCTATGCTCGCTACCCATGGAAAAACCTACCAAGTCCTATACCTTATTAAGTTTAAAAAGTGGTCTGGTATCTTACCAAAAATTAATAAATCAGACAATATGACTATATGTTGCTAAAATAATTCTTGATGTTTTGTGCTTTTTGACATACAGTAGTAAAAAAAAGAAGTAATCATAAGGAAAAGGTTAATAGCATGAACAGCTTAACCAAAGTAAATAAAAAATAAGGAAAAAATCTTAACAAGTCATTGGAGCGCTCATTAAAACAGCAATACACACAGGAAAATTTAAAAAATACTACTTCAACCTAAGAATCAAGGAAAGAGCACTTACTAGTGATGACTTAAGACAACATCTTAAATTATTGTTCTTGATTCCCATAGAAAACTATCCATACAGTGACATTTTTGCCAACCACAAATTATGTAGGCACAAGAAAAGTTCATCAGTTCCTCTTCACATTTACACATTTTATTACACTGAGTCCCTTAAGGACAGAGTTATTTCTTTTATATATCTAGCACAGGCTACTCTTTGGATGTTATTCTTTCTTCTTTGAAGTGTTGTTTTAAATGAACAACTCAATTTAGTATTTTGATAACTGTGGTTTTCAAATTATGTAATGCAACTGAATAGTTTCATTTTCTTCAACTATACAACATATTCTGTCTTAAGTTTAGACTTTATTTTCAATTTTTGGGAGAAGCATGAAAGTTAACTAAGCTAAGACACTGCTAAATTAAGTTAAACATTTTCATTATTTTAAAAAAGAAAGGAAAACCTAACTAACTTTGAGTATTAACTATGGGGTACTAATTTTAAGATAATAATTATTTTTATTCTCATGAAGATAATGAATGCCCTCTAAGGATTTCTTAAGGATTTAAAAGCAAAAGGGTTTAGTTTACAAAAATAAAGACATCTATATATTCAATTTGCCTAATTACATATCCAACTTCTATTTACATTAATTAAAACTAATAATTATGGAATAACAATAACCAGTAAGGAGATTCAATTTTTCGAAAGCATAAATACTAAAGGCTTAGGGAATGCATATAACAAATGCATTACAAAATGACTGCCCTTTATTTAGCAAAAGTGCCAAGGGTTAAAGAAAAGAGACTGAAGACATATCCTCCAAACTCATGTGCTATTTGTACTATTTGAGCAACTGACACTCCAGTTATTAAAACATATGCCCAAGTTAACAGTTTCAAAGTTTCATATTTTAAATATGCCCACTATGAAACATCTATGAAACAGAAAGCTATGTAATTCCATCACTAGGACTCATAAACATAAAGAACACATTCATTAGACTGGGCATAATAACTGTTCTGTTCTTCAGCTTAACCAGAAATGCACATGAGTGATACAGGAAAAGATAAAATTTACAAAATGATACTAGATACTAAATATGTTTCTAAAGTCTTTCACCCACTCGATAAAGAAGAAAACTGATTTCCTGCATCCTTTAGTCTTATTCCTGTACAGTATGACTAGGAGGCCACCATTTTTATTTGTCATCAAGACACTATAAAAAGCTCAGATGGAAGTGAGAGTTGTAAAGAAAATTTCATTGAAATTGACATTCTCATTGATACATAGTCAATTAATACCACAGTTTGTTTTGATTTTTAAGGATGAAATCAAGAAGTAGTAGTATGGGAAACATTTACTCCTGTATTTCCAGTTCTTGCTGTGTAGGCAGAAAAACAAAGAAAATAAAGTTAGAAGCATGCAGAAAGATAAAATGTAGTCATACACGATAAAAACCAAAGGCTATGAACAAGTAAGAGTTATTTTTTATTTTAAAGTTCAGGTAGAAAAATATTAATAAATTTCCTTGGGGGGGAAAGCCAGCCATGGGAGAATAGCAATTTACACATATATATAAAAAATACCTCAATATAATAAAGTTAAAACTAAAAGCCAAGAAAACCTTACTTTTTTAAAGGTTTAACCAGATTATAACTGTTTATCATCTCTTCTATCTTTTAGCTCTGTTTACCAAAATAAATCTAAATTAACAAATTAGGGCAAATAAATTAATTTAGTTGGAAAAAATGGAAGCAGTGAAATTTCAATAATTAGCTACAAGGCAGGAAGCCAAAATTAACTATGTAAACTAAATGAGCTATCACAGAAACAGCGATATAGCCTATGACTTCTTTAATAACTATCTATCCTGCACAAAAAGTGCTTTGCTCCTGTGCAGAAAAGAAAATTAACACTTCTTTCTATTGAACACATTATGGTAGAATAAAAAATGAATAAATAATCAGATTCTACTCTACAAATCATGTGTAATCTTTGAAAGAAGTTCATGAATCAGGAACTTAAGAGCTACTTATGAAATCTTGGACCTAGAAATTTTAAAAATTCAACTTCATTCCTGACCATGAAAAACAGAATTTACCTCAAACAAGTCAGAGCCCTCAGACTCTTGTCTGTCATATGGACGAATGATGCCATCTTCACGGATCAGGCGAGGGGGTCGCAGGCTAGACACCTCTTCAGTTGATTCTGCTACCCTAAATATTAAGGCATCAGTTTAAATGTAAGAAAATGTGTGAGAATCTGACTCCAAGACTCTCACCCTTTTCTAAAAGAAAATAAAATACCAAAATAAGAAAAACAAACACTAGGTCATGTATTCTTGTACAGTGCCTGGCATATGGTAGACACCAACAAACATTTGTGGAATAAAAGAGAAATTAAGCCACAAAAAAGTCTTTTCTTACTCATTTCTGGTGGCACTCTACCTTGTGAAGCTATAGCTTTCAATTAGATTTTATGATCCTTAAGAGCAGGCAACGTTTCTAAACAATTTATGCCCTCCTAGCAACAATTAGTCACAGACATATACCTTGCACACAGTATGTACCCAATTACCTCTGAATGCCTTGGAAGGTACTGCTGGCCATATCAATGATTCCACCAGTTGGACGAGCCACAGCTCCCACAAGTCCTTTTCCAATCCCTTTAAAGAATCCAGCTGCTCCCTCCTTTTTGGCACCTTCAGAAAACCAAGGACAATGAATACGTAAAGATATTTTAGCAAGAGCAAGTTTGAACTCATCAAAAACCTGAGTCAAATACTCAACTGTTTTATCTAGGAAGCATCAAGAATTTGGCTTTCTAAAGAACTTAAATTTAATCCTATCATGATAAAATCATGGTGCTCAAAATATGTCAGAAATGCATTTAGACATGCACCAGAACTGCTGAATCCCAAACTCTGGCTATAAGGCCAACATCTTGTTTGTTGATTAATTGAATGACTGTTGCGATCTATGTTTTAATAAAAGCCCCAAGTAATCCTAAGACAGGGTTAAGTTTGAAAACTACTAATAGGAGTTTCATCAGTACCTGTAACCGGACAGTCTAAGGACTGACCAGAAAGCATCCTCTTTTTCTAGACTAACCATCAGAAGATTTTTCAAGCAGTGTACTTTTTAAAAAAATTAACATCTGAAAAATATTGAAATATAGCTCACGTACCATAAAATTTACCCATGAAGGTGTATAAATTAAATGCTTTTTAGTATATTCACTTGTACAACCATCACCACAATCAGTTTTAGGAAATGTGTATCATCTCAAACAGAAACCCTATATATAAATTTAGACTCATTCCCCATTTCTCCCAAGCCCTGCCCATACAATCCCACCCAATGTACTTCCCCTGCTCCCTGCTGACACTCGACCCCATACCTAGACAACCAACCTAGAGATATTTTCTATCACTATGGAGCTGCCTATTCTGGACATCCCATACAAATGGAATCATATACTATGTGGTCTATTGTGACTGTTTGTTTTTCACTTAGCATCATGCTTTCAAGGTTCCTGCATTTCATAGCATGTACCAATATTTAATTCCTCTTTATGGTTGAACAATATTCTAGTGTATGCATATACCACCTTTTGTTTATTAATGCATCAGGTGATAGACATTTGGATTGTTTCCAAATTTTGGCTATTTTGAATACAGCTGCTATGAACATTCACATACATGTTTTTGTTTAAACAGCTGTTTTCATTCTTTTGGTTACAGGTATACAGCTAGAATTGATCAGTCATAGGGCAACTCTACATTTAAGCTTGTAAGGCACTACCAGACTGTTTTCCTCAAAAATGGCTGTACACTTTACATTCTCACCAGCAGGGTATGAGGCTTCAACTGTCTTCATGTCCTGCTTAACACTTGATCATAGCCATCCTAGTAGGTACGAAATGGTATTCCATTCTAGTTTTGACTTGCCTTTCCCTGATGCCAACTAATATTGAGGCCTTTCATGTGCTTAATGGCCACTTACATCTTCTTTAGAGAAATGCAAGTTCATATCCTTTGTCCATTTTAAGTTGGGTCATTTGTCTTTTTATTACTAAGTTTGAAGAGTTCTTTTTATATTCTAGGTATGTCTGTCCTTATCAGATGTATGATTTGCAAAATTTCTCTCCCATTCTGTGGTCCATTCCTTCCCTTGATGGTGTCCTTTGAAGCATAAAAGTTTTAAATTTTTACCTATTTGTCACTTGTGCTTTTGATATCCTATCTAGGAAGGCTTTGCCTAACACAATCATAAGGATTTACTCCTATGTTTTCTTCTCAGTTGTAGTTTTCCTCTTATATTTAGGTATTTAAGCAATTCTGAATTCACTTTTATATATGGTGTAAGTAGGGGTCTAATTTCTTTATTTTGTACATGAATATCAAGATGTCACAGCATCATCTATTAAAAACTATTCTTTACTTATTGAATTATCTTGACACCCTTGTCATAGATAACTTAACACAAATGTAAGGGGTTCATTTAAAGATTCTTAATTATATCCCACTGATTTATGTCCATCCTTGTGCCAGTACCGTACTTAGCTACTGTAATGTAAGTTTTAAGCTACTGTAATGTAAGTTTTAAAGTTGGAAGTGTCAGTCTTCCACTTAGTTCTTTTTCAAGATTGTTTCAGATACCTGGGGTCCCTTGAATTTCCATATAAAATTTAGATTCAGCTTGTCAATTTCTGCAAAGACACCAACTGGGACCTTGATAGGAATTATACAGAATAAGCAATGTGCTTTTTTAATGGGACAAAACAAACAAAAAAGTGAATTAATTGCTAT